ACTGTATATTACCAAAATTGACTGACGGTGACGGGGTTCGAACCTCGGACCGTAGGGGCCAAAGCACGCAGGTGACAGCGACTAAACCACTGCACCATAACAACAAGACGAAAACAGAAAATTATCTTTATAGGTTTAAAATTAGTTCGTTTCGGTCCTCATTTAGTCAGCTTGAATAAGGGCCAGATAGGGTACTGTTCAATTGCGATAAATGTTTATGTGGGAGGGTAAGCGACGATAACGGTTGATCGGATTGCAGTGTGGGAGCGGTAAGCAGATGAATCGGAATTGAGCGGATGACTGGGGTCGTTGGTTATCAAAAAGGCAATATTTTCATATTAATTAATACGAAAATAGCACAATTTCGTGGTCAGAGTGTCTAAACACATAAGAGAAACACGATTGGTGATTGTCATACCGCCGCGAAGAATAATGATATCCTTTTTTAAGTAGGCCAGAGAAAATGACCGACGAACAACAAGGTATGACAAGAAAAATACATTTACTCTAAATTGTCGCAGCTTGCGTATATGGAAGGATAAGTGACACAGGCCAGCACATGAGAAGATCAGCGTAGGTCGCTCTCTGTGATGACTCCAACGTATTTGGTGGTATGTGTTGTGGTGATGGGTACGGATTTGATAATTGAGGGTTCCAAGGGATATTCGGATCCGGAAAGACTAAAAACGTATTCGAAGCACTTAGAAGCATTCAACTAGAGATCGGATTGGTTCGAGATGAATTGCACTTGTAGTAAACTGTCCGAAAATAATTCCATTTCAGATTGATTTGCGATGGATTGACATAAGATAATATCATCAGCATTTAATGGTCCTGGTCGGTGGGAGAGAACGTAAGCAATTGATGAATGCTGAAAAATAAGTGTGGAGAAAGCACAGAACCCAGGACTCCAGAATTAATCGCAAACGGTTTTGAAACAGTGCCGTTCGCTTTCGTTCTTCGAATCCTTCTTTAGTATTGTATTGCGTATAACTTTTGCAAGCACTGGAGCTCGCATTTACAAATCATACACGCTAACCGTCACAGTGTACAATGTACACAATGTAATCAACGGGAGAGAAAAGTTTTTACCGACATGAGGACATTTCATAATTCAAGGTTCACTCCAGAGTTCACTTGTTTTCCGCTCTTTGTGTTATAAGTAGACGCGTAAGTTACGGTGCAGGTGAATTGCGATAAGCGTTAATTCGAGATGAAATTTGAGGGAATTGGGAGCGTGTGTTTCAACCGCGACAATAAAGCCATCATCAAATGATTACGATTTTCGGCGAACAAGAGTGATCGTGGAATAGATTCCAAAGCGGAAGAATAATCAAGGAAAACACAACGAACGGATTTTCGAGAAATTATCTAACGATAGGCAGAGATGTATATGGAGTGCGGAACAGCTTCACTGACAGCCACCAGGGTGTATGGTCGACTGGATCAACTGAGATTTATGGGGGGGATCAACCAAAAGAACTCCGAAGAGTTCATGTTGCGCCACTGTCGACTAAAGTGAGCGAACTTGATGAAACACACTCGCACACAAACACATACACACAAAAACAGACATCGTGTTGAATTCATGACAGATTAGGATCAAAAAGGATTTCGAAAACAACAACAACTCAGATCGACTGTGTGTGTGCGAGTGCGCGTCAAAAACGATTCAATAACCACGGATCGCACATTCATACTA